AGAGAGAGAGAGAGAGAGAGAGAGAAATCAATAATTAGTTGCGCTTAATTTATTTAATAAATCCAATACTCACTTAATGGTATTGATATCAAAATTAAACAAATCCTGTATTACAACACCTATGCTATACATATCGGCCTTTTGGTTGTATTTGCGGCTATTTTTCACCTCCGGAGCCATATATCGATCAGCGCCGGCCCCACGAGTGTGTGTATGAGAATCGTGCAAATGCTCGACAGCGAGTCCGAAGTCACCCATCCGTACGAACCGGCGGTCGGTGTCGTAGCGGATCAGTATATTATCGGGTTTAATATCGCGGTGAATGACACCCGCGCCGTGCAGTCGCCCCAACGCGTCCGCTATTTCGGCTAACAGTTCGGCGCCGATATAGTGGCCGAGCGGTGGCAGGAATTCGCGACAATTCATCATTTCAAAGTACTCGAGCACTTGAATCAACACACGTTTTAATGAATACCAACACAAATCCATTTGAATGTGAAGAATGGCGAAGTGTTTTCTGTTCAACTGTTCCGCGTATTGTTTGCGGACCCAACTGTCCGTCTGTTCCAAGTACTGGACGAACCGCTTTCTGGCCTCAGCGCTGGTCTCGAGCCACGCGCTCCTATACTGAACGCATGTCGTGTCCTGTACTTTAGCCCAAACCCGGATTTCTCTAATCCCGCGGTTAAACTCTTCGCGCACCGCATCAGCGCTGTCCTCGTTTTCATCTGAAATATTGTTTTATAAATTAATGACATTTACTTATAATTATAAATTAAATCCTAATAGTTTTGGTAAATCCTAACAATACTTCTTTAAGTCACTGCCCCCTCCCCTCCTCGGACTCACTCTTTCTTGATATAAGTATAGCACCTAATGCTAAGCCTATGGCCAGGAATTCACGAGTTTTTATTTTATTACACAATATTCTGTTTGCAATGTATAGTAAATGAACAAAATACTTCATTTCACAATTCAATTCGCAAATCAATTTACAATTGCAATCAATGCAAAGACACTTACGGAAGATATAAATGAGTTTAATAGCGTATTGTTTGTAATCAATTTTGTGACGGCCTTCGAGAACGACACCAAAACTTCCGGCGCCTAAATAGCGGTCAATTCTGAACTCATTGGCCAAACGCTTCTCATTAGTGAACGGCTCGATCTCCAGCGTCTCCTCAACCACTTTCTCTCTTCTAGTCTTCGACATAACCGGTCTCTCATCGCCGGCGCTCTCCTCTCTCGCAAAGTGTCTATCAGTGCCCACAGAAAAAGGTTGTGATGAAAATAGTAAATTATATTCAATTTCATACACACCTGTATTGTATGTATAACACAAAAACAGGCATAATTTCATCACCACTTGATTTGAACTTTATTTTTATATATTTTATAATGGCTTTTGTTGTATGGCTTTTAAGGTGTAGCCGAAGAGAGAGAGAGAGAGAGAGAGAGAGAGAGAACTTCTAAACATGTATTTTTGAATTTCATTAGTTGTCGGAAAAGAATAAGAGAAAAATAAGTTAATGGAAAAGTTAATAACAATTTGTATCCACGGAATAAAAATTAGCAAATGTTTTAAAAACCAGTTTACAATACAAAATATAATGTAAAACATTATTAATATATTTTCAATGTTGATGAGCCAGCACATCGTATGGATACTAATAACAACCCTCATGAAAATATACATTATTTAAACAATTAGCGAAAATGCAAATTACATTTCTTATCAATTAAATAATGCCTTATATGTCACCACAAATCATGTGAACCATTTTGTGCCATTTTCAACAAGGTCATTATCTATTTAGTGCACTTATTATTATATTTTTGATTATCAATACTCTAAATATAACGAACGTGTTATAAATCAATGGGCTATTGATTAATTCATTGCTTTTAAATAAAGTCATTACACTTTTAACGGTTTGAGGGAAAAGTTTGTCGCAAAAAATGAGCGCAAACCACATATAAGAGTGATTCTTTGCCTTAAATAACAGATAAACACATTTAATCTCGTTTTAACAGATGCTGAGGACATGCGATCCAATGGTTCCGATTCAAGGAAACCCAGTGATAAATATCCTATCTATGGATATGTTATGCAATTTATGCACTCATTCATTATCATTGAAAAATGTTAATTTTGCCACAATTTTTTGTGTTTTAATTTATTTTAAACATTACATTTTGTACACATATTGCTGTCATGTTTTGCTATATTATACAAATTGACTTTATTTACAAACGTTATGTTTTAAATTATATCAATAACTTAAAATTAGTTTTTAGTTTAATTTATTAAAAATTATTTTAGTAAAACACTTGTACTAAACTGGTTCAAACATGAAGATCAATTTTAATTTTATAGTAAATAATAAAATCAATAGAATTTAAAACTCAATAATTAATTTTAATATACACTATTTAAATCTATTTTTAATATACTGTACTAGCTTTATCATGATGAATTAAAATTAGTTTTGATTTTATAATAGACAAAAAACGCCAAAAATTTAATTCCCGTAAACATTATACTAAAAATTCAGTTTTTTATTTTAGTGGTAAATTTACGTAAGAATAACTAAAATTAAATAAAACTAAAATAAAGATAATATTGACTAAACACAATGAAAAATATAATAAATAAACCGAAAAACAATACAATTTGCAGACAATAAGACAATATGAATGTAACCCAAGAATCACTTTATTTTACATCTAATTTTGACTTAAAAACTAAAGACAATTACAAACCAAACGTAAACTCAAACTATTGATAAATCACTAATTTATTTGTTCCGCAATTCAAAACCACAGTAAAGGTAATTAAAATGATATAAAATCTCAAATTAATTGCTCATTATTTATTATAAGTTTAATAATTTTTGTGCACTTATTATGCATAGATCGAGCATGATGCTTTTTGATTTTATCATTTAACTTTTGTCCCTTTAATACAATTGTCTTCAATTTAGTTAATTTTTGCATTAAATGTAACGATTGTATAGTAATATCTATGTATTTAATGGACAAATATTGAATTGTCGGCAAATTAACGTGTATTTTAGCAAAAAAGCATCGGTTATCGGACACCCGTTAAATGATAAATGCGTTAAGCGTTTACATCGATTCAATGAATTACTCTTTAGTGGCAATTCTGTGCGAAATCAGGCATCTATTGATAGTTTCCGTAATTGTCAAAAATATTTGTTAATTGTATTCAAATTATTGATCAAATTATTTTCAATTCCCAATGGTTTTAATAAACGACAATTGAGTCCAATTTGGGGTAAATGTGGTGTTATTTTACTTTTCAAACTCTCATAATTGTAATTAAGACCAGGAATTACTTCACCACAAGATTCATTAGAAAAATTATTTTGTTAATAAATATTAATTATATAAAATAATCAACTAAATTAACGATAATTAAATTTTACAAATATTATTTTTTAAAACTTGTATTAACTTTGATATATTTTTAAAACTATTTTCTATTTTATTACTAAATAAATATTTACTAAATTCAATAAATTTAATTTAACTAAACTTCAACTAAAATTGCGATTAATGTGTAATCAAAATGTAAAACAACTAAAATTAAGCGCAAAAACAAAACAATTTGATAAACTGTTGATAAAAAGGCGTGAATGCAGTCATTGTTAACACAAACCGTACGAATAAATGCAAAAGTTTTCAAAAATCGCATCAATTCTTCCATTCACTCAACACTTGATAGCAGTTATAGATCTCAAACCGAAATCACATTTTGTTTGCCATTGATTTGGTTTCGGACCCAAAAACTACCGATAATTGCAATCAAACCGTTGTCTCGAAGTCATTGATTAATCGCTAATTCGTTTGTCTCATAGTCTCTGAAGCCCTGAACCAGTGATTGTCACCGAAAACTATGTCCAAACTGTTTTCATTGCTCGCAATCCTATTGGCTGTCATTTCATCGATGGTCACACCGATGATCAACGGATCGGTACTCATGAGAACCAATCCGTTTGCTAATCTTAAAGGGCAGTCACCGAACGCGTCGATGGCCACAAACCCTACGCCCAGATCTGCCGATACACTGATGATTAACTTCAATGTGGAGGCGACCACATCGGAGGCTACGGTTGTTGTCAACGAACCAATTGACACACGCTTTCACATCAAGACCGCCAACGGATCGGCGATTGTGCCCGACATCTGTACCCAGAGCTCAGTGGCTCAGTATATGAGCGCCTGTTTGGTCATATCGTTGGACAAGTGGCAGATCAACGTTACGGCGGTGTCGGAGGCGGGAGTGGAGGCCGACTGCGACCGTGCGATATACGCGGACTGCGCCGGAAGGCTGTGCTGCGCGTTCGCCGACGTTATCGATTGTCATCGCCGTCTCTCTCACCACATCTGCCCTCAGAAAGTGATGGACGACATGAACGCCACTTTGAGCGCCAATTGGCCCGTCGTTTGCGATACCAACAGCAGTGCCGAAGCGTGCGCACAGTCGACGGCTTCGTTGGACCACCCGATGGATAGCGTGATGCCCGGCGACCGAAGCAAGGATCCAAAGGTACGGCTGTCGGTGAATATGATGCGGAATATCAACATTCAGGTCAACTCTGGCCACTCTATCGTCGCTTCGGTGGTCACTGTTGTGTGTGGACTGGTTGTGGCCGCGGCTCTCATTGTCTATTAATTTATCCATTTATATATATGTTTGTAATTCACATCCAATTCAGAGTTTTCTTAAAATTAGTTTTAATCTCGAAATTGTTTTTTATATACAATTCAGTAGTTTTATTAGTTTCCAAATATTTAGTTACTTTTAATTGTAACTAAATTTGCTATTCATTTATAACTTGTAAAACAATTTATTAAATGTGTATTTAATTAAATGATCAAATAAAACGTTTTGAGCTTAATTATTAAGTTAATTTTTGAGCAAAATAAACAACACGATCACAAATAACAAAAGTTTAATCAATTTATAATTGATTATTATTACAACTATTAGTGGTATTATTAGCCAAATATTTTTGACGCATAAAATACTTAACGAACTGATCCTTTGGATTGGGATTAAAATCTTCTGTTTTAATTTCGGGCGGAATTTCCGACTCGATATCACTGTAGGCCAGAGACCAGTCTTTACGGCACTTAAGTATGTCCTGACACGAGGGCCGGAATGTGTTCAGACCATTGAGACAATTGCTCGTTATCTCAGTTATCCTTTTGTAATTGTCTTTGTATTCGTTATTAACTTTCCTGAGAGAGAGAGAGAGAGAGAGAGAAAGTGGTTGAGGAGACGCTGGAGATCGAGCCGTTCACTAATGAGAAGCGTTTGGCCAATGAGTTCAGAATTGACCGCTATTTAGGCGCCGGAAGTTTTGGTGTCGTTCTCGAAGGCCGTC